TTTTGGACTATGGAGTGGATTTGCAGAACCTGCCCTGAAAAGAGCCAAGACTGAGGAGAGGGAACACTTGCAAAGTTTATTTTGAGGGAGTGGGTGGGCGGTGAAAACTGATTAAAAAATGATTTCCTACCTTATTTTAGCGGTGACTTTTTGTGTGTTAGTGCGTGGATATTTGGTGGGTGTGCCACCAGTTTTGTGTATAGATATATTTAGAAGCGCTTCAAAGAAGCAGCGTTGCAAAATACTTCCTGTGCACAACGCAGTCCCAGAACGTCCTCCCCTGTCTTCCCCGTGCGATAACAACACTCTGAGCTCTTCCGTTAAGCATGTCTCCTCGGGTTTGTATCGGGTTTGCAGGCTCCTTAAAATCCCTTCTGAAACGTTAGGACAGGGTGGAGGTGGGGGAGAATGCAAACGAATGCTGCGAAAGGGAAATCCCTTGCGTTTGTGTCTTGCTTTGCTGATTTTGTCTTTCCGATTGTAGGAAGCGTATGTGCAGAAAATGGTAAAAGTATGCAATGATTCAGATCGGTGGAGTCTCATCTCCTTGTCCAACAACAGTGGCAAAAACGTGGAGCTGAAATTTGTGGACTCTCTGAGGCGGCAGTTTGAATTCAGTGTCGATTCCTTTCAAATCAAGCTGGACTCCCTGCTGCTCTTTTATGAGTGCTCAGAGAATCCAATGACTGAAACTTTTCACCCGACTATCATTGGGGAGAGCGTCTATGGGGATTTCCAAGAAGCCTTTGATCACCTCTGCAACAAGATAATCGCCACCAGAAACCCGGAAGAAATCAGAGGAGGTGGTCTGCTTAAGTACTGCAACCTTTTGGTAAGGGGCTTTAGGGCTGCCTCCGAATCCGAGATTAAGTCCCTGCAGAGATACATGTGCTCGAGATTTTTCATTGACTTCTCAGACATTGGAGAGCAGCAAAGAAAGCTGGAGTCCTACTTGCAGAACCACTTTGTGGGATTAGAGGACCGCAAGTATGACTATCTCATGACCCTTCATGGTGTGGTGAATGAGAGCACAGTGTGCCTGATGGGACATGAGAGGAGACAGACTCTCAATCTGATCACCATGCTGGCCATCCGCGTCCTAGCCGAGCAAAATATCATCCCCAATGTGGCCAATGTCACCTGCTATTACCAGCCAGCCCCGTACGTAGCAGATGCCAACTTCAGCAATTACTACATTGCCCAGGTTCAGACGGTGTTCCCCTGCCAGCAGCACACCTACTCTACTTGGCTGCCCTGTAATTAAGGACCACGGTTAGCAGACCTGGTGGGGAGAACGTTTCTTAACATGTAGGAAGGGGCGATGCGCCCCTCTGAAATGGGGTGTTTGTGCAATGATGATCTGCTCTGATTTGCAAGCTTGGCAAAGGCTTGTGGTTCTTCTAATAAATAACGGGAGCATGATCTAGAAAGAATCCCCAGACAATTGGATCCTACCCCAGAGCACAAGAGGCCTGTCATTAAAAGCAAACAGCTTCCCCTGAAAGAAGTGAGGGAGGAATGCTTGATGACAATATGGGTTGGCAATACCTGCTCCCATAGCTTTGGCATAGAGAAGGTGGGAAAGCCTTATTTTTTTTTTTTATTATTATTTTTATTCTTACTTTAGAATGGGATCTGCAAAAGGGAGAATATGAAAGAAATAAAAAAACAACAAAAATGAAAAAAATCACAAAAACAATTCTATATATATATTCAGGAATTAAAAGTAGAGGCATAAAGCAGAGATAAGCTGAATAAAAATGTATATTGGAATTACTGCATTTGGGGCTTGCAGCAAGTGCCATCTATGGAATGATCCTGCAGAATGTATAGCTTGCTTGAATAGAAATGCTTTAACAGAAACAGCTTGCTCCAAATGAACAGTAGTAGATTGGTACAGTTATAAAAACAGAAGCGCGTATGATGACAAAAGTCCATTATTTCCAGCTGTGTGCATGCCTCACATTTTAAAAATGTGAGAATGCAAGAGAACCAGCTGTGGCAAACAAAATATACTCAAGGACCAAAGATTTCACAGTTAAGTTATCCGAGCAAAGAAGATACAGTAGAGTATATATATATACACACATATATATATATATATATATAAATAAAAGAAAAAAGAAGTTGATATATTTGTACACACCAATAGTAATCAAAAGTGCCTGATGCCTTCATAAAATTTGAAGTGAGAAAATATAGTTTTGTGGTTTAACCATGCATTTTGTTTTATCAGGGACACAAGGATTAAAAACAAATAACATAAGCTTGTGAATAAGTGGTGGAGGAAATGCCCTATTTTTTTTCTTGGCAAATACTTGTGTAGAATTAATGTTATGTCGGTGTGATATTATCCTAGGTACGTGTGTGTATGTGTGTATATATGTTTGTGTGTGTATATATGTACATGTTATATGTGTATATCTATATATATACACACACAATATATATTAATATGGTCTAGGAAAATGTAGCAATTAAGGAATGTTTAAATAAAGTACTATGTGTTTTCCAGTTTGCAACAGGATGTCATAGGACAGTGGGTACCTTGCAGTGAATTTTTTCAACCCACACCTGAATAATTTGGAGTAGATAAACCAGTCAGGATTAAGGTGGGATTCAGATAATGTCTTTGGTTGCAAGAACAAGGATTACAGTAATTCAGTGGGTTGCTTGTGAGCCATAATAATTCCACAAATGGAGAAACATATGACTAGCTGATTTTTTTTTAAACTGTTTTGTACTGTAATGCCATGTTGACATTTAACCCACTAATGTTGTGACTGCATACCTCCATGATGTATAATTCAGTGGAACGTGGATCAAAGATAGGTTTATTTAAACCCCCTGACAGCTAAAGAATATTGTATTAGTTGGTGATTTGAACACTAATTGTTAATATTTAAAGAAATATTTTAATAGAATGCGTTATGCATTCCAGGACCACTAGAATTTAGTAAATGTGAAAACATCTTTGATCTGGTTGTCACACTGCATTTACAATTTCAGTACTGTACTTTATTTAAATGGAATCACTTTACATTGGAACAATAACTATTCACTTTCATTTCCTCTCCCAAACGGTCAGCAGGAGGAAAATGAACCTCTGCTGTTGTTTTCACTTCAGTGACATCTCGGAAGGTGTTAAATTCTTTGTTGGGCTTTGAAAACCTAATGACTAAATGACACTTGAGTCTAATATTTTGCTTTTTCTTACTGAAAAAGAAAAAAGAGGAAAAAAAAAAAAAAGAGGGAAAACAGGCTTTGGAAAGAAAACGTGATGCAACCTGCATCGTTGCAGGCACGGTGGTGGTTTTGAGGAGGCAGGGGAAGAGGGCGAGGGACAGGGCTCGTATCCTGGCAGTGAATTTTCCTGCAGAGCAACCAAGCTACATCTATTTTTGTCACGCTTTGTACTTTTATCTCCGAAGGCAATTTAACCGGAACCCGCTTTGTTTACTGAAGCACCTTCCCTGTGAGTTCTTGGGGAACCGTAAAAAGCTGTTTCATTGCCGTTTTCGCGTGGTTTGCTCGGAGACCTCGTCCCCACCTTCCTTCCCTTCCTGCCGCGCTGGCCGCAGCCCGCCGCGCGGGATGCCGCTTCTCGCCCCGCCCGCGGGCGCCGCCCCGCCGCGCGGGTTGCCGCTTCTCGCCCCGCCGCGCTGGCCGGGGAAGGCCGTTCCTCGCCGGCCGTGCCAAGGCCAGGTTTGTCTCTCGTGGCCCAGGGTTTCCCGTTTGTAGAGCAGGACGGAAACGCGCTTGTCAAAGCGGCGCGCTCGCCCCGTCGCTCCTCGGAGGGTTCCTGACGGAAGCGAAGGGGAGGGCTGGGGAAATAGGATCAGCTGGTAATGTGGTATGTCTTCTCTTGCCACAACTATTTGCAGCAAATAAATGAGTCATCCGCTATTTAAAAGGGTTTGAGAATCTATAGCTGTGCCACAACCACAAAATGCTGATAGTACATGACACAATGTATTTTGCCTTTGAAGGACTTTTATTTTTCCCCGTTGCTTAAAAGCGGATTTTGATTTAATTCCTTTCAGCTCAGATTTTATTGTGTTTATGATTGACAGCAGCTAGTTATCTTATAGTGCATGCAGCAGGGCTCTGAGCTAAACTGCACCTTTCAGTGCTCGCATTTTGATACATATATAATATGTTTTTATATATATTATATAGGTATTACGGATCTGTTTTGCATATGTTAATGATCAAGTGCTGGAACTGATAGAGCTTTGTTTTATCTGTGACTGGTAGTTTAAAAGGTGCCTGGTGTTAGTGGTGGGAAGAAGGCATGAGTTTAGGCCAAGGGTAAAATAAGAAACCCTTTTCAAAGCTGGTTTGTTTCTGTGGTTTGCACACCTTCCCCTGCATGAAGTCTGACTTTTTTTAACTGTTTTTTCCTCTCCTCTTCAGCACACTGGTACTTTGAAAGTTAACAACCGCATTCTTGCTTTGTAGACTTCGTTTTTCCCATCCAATCAGATGTAAGGTTAGACCTTGCTACAAGAGACAGTGCCCCTTTTAAAGAGCTGAACTGATTAAAAACATTGACCTGATTACAGTAAAACTGTTTGTGCCACAGCTGAATTTATTGCTAACCAACAGGGAGCTAAGCTTGGTTAAATGTAACTATCATGAAACAACCGAGAGCTTTGAAATGGGTTTTTTTTTTTTCCTTAGATGGAGCTATCCCCCCAAACGCAAGAAAAATTTCTTCTAAAAATAGGAGGGCAATTAGAACACCAAAAAAATCATATTTTTGTAGTTTCGCATACTTAAAAATGTATTTTGTTTTATCTTGCACAAAAGCCTTCACACAAATCTTGTAAATACCTCTTGTTAAATGCTTGGTCTGCATCATGTCATAGGCTCCTACCAGTTTACCAGTTCAAAAGAAGCTTCTTTTTTTTTTCTTTTTTTTTTTTTTTAACTGAGAAAACGAAGTGTGTTAGATAAAACTGCACAGCAAAGGAAAAGATGTAATTGCATATTCAGTTCGTATTTGAATATACTCTTTAGTATGGTTTTCTTTAGGCAGAGAGTTTCCTTTGCAAGAAAGGAAATCAGTGTACTGTTTTGCTGTTGTAATAATGGTTTTATAACAAAATAAATAGTAAAAAAAAAAAAAAAAAAAGCCTGCAAATTTCAAGACAGCTTGGCTAAAGCACTGCAAGCTTCTGCAGTCTGTAGGAGTCTGTGCAGATTTGCTTTCCCTCAGATTTCCTTACAACTGTTGCCTTCTGCAAGGCATCCTGTTGCAGCAAACTGCTCCTTGGATTGCTCTTTTGGAACATTTTGACTATAGGCTTTGTCACAGACAGAAAAAGAGCTGATGGAAACCAGACTCTAGAGGGAACAGATTGTGAATTTTGTTTACAGCATCCAATATTTGGATTTTTTTTTTGTAAATAAAAAGAAGTTATTTTTTTCTATTGATTTGTGTCTGCTGTCTTCCGTGTCTGAAATAGCTATGGCCGCTTCCTAATGAGTGCCAACTCGCTTTCATTAAAAAGGACAAGGGCAGCACTTTTCTGAGAAGAGCAGCCCTCAGCCGCTTTCCCATCGGAGCACAATAAATTTTGAAAAGCATTGCCTTCTGCTGGCCAAATTTGACGGGGTTTGCTCCGCTATGAAGGAACCTCCCCAGCCAGTGCCAAAAATACTTGGTTGGACGTTAATTGAGCTGTGTAAATGGTCTGAAATCCTGTGCTTTACCAGACGGGCTGTCCTGGTGAAGCCGAGCTGCAGCAGCAGCCTTGTGCTCTTTCGCCACCTCCTCGGTTTAGGTCCCCGCAGCGGCATGTAAACCTTCTCGTGCTGCTCGGCGCTTGCATCCTGCACACAGCGGAGCGGGGATCCTGCTGCCCCTGGGACGTGTTCGATAGGCGCCGGCGCCTCAACCTGAGCCTTTCGGTGGGTGCGCGCGGTGGTCCCGCTCGGTGCGGCGAAGGCGAGGTGCTCTGCAGCTGGGGCAGGTCCCCGCGGCTCTCACCTCGGGGAGCTGCATTTCACAAGCCCCTTCGGTTCAGCTGCTGAATGGACCCGCTCCTTCCCTCAGATTCGGCGTTTAGTCTCCTCTCCTGCCCTACAATGCTATCCTTGTCAGCCGAGGTATTTTCTGCTTGCTGTGTTTACAGTGGAGATGCCTCTGTAATGAAGGCTAATTTCCTCAGAAGGCACTTCAAGGGAATATAAAATATGAATTTACAATGCTCGTGGCAATATTTTTTAAAGCGGGCTGCCTCAGACTGACCCAAATTTGAAAAACATTGACTAAGACTCCGCAGTATGCAGCTCTTACTAGGCTCATTCATACGCCGCTCTCGGCTTGGAAGACTAAACGCTGGCGAAGCGCGAGCTTGAATATGCTTATTGTAATGATGAGTGAACCCGTATTCCCCTAGAAAAACAAACAAGCAAACGCGCTCCTGGAACTGCTGGTTTTTCCAAGCGCCGGAGCAGCCCCCTGGCCGGACGCAGGGCTCCCTCTGCACAGTGCCTCCCCACGGCACGGCGAGGGGGACGCGGCCCGAGGCTTCCTAGCTTCGCTTGGCTCAGTTGTAGAGTAGCTGAGGCGACCTGACAAGAGGCGTCCGCAGCGCCCACGGGGGAAAGCACCGAGGCCTTTGTGTGCCTGTCCAAAACGCAAGCCTGAGCGGATGCGCG